ATTACCACTCTACAGTATTGCCCACAAGCAATTTCAATTATCTAACTGCTTTTACTATAACCTCCTTAATTCACCACGACCTTTAAATTCTTTCATGCTATTCAGAAAGGATTATCAGGCCAAACTAAATTCATTGGGTGTTAATATTAATGGTGTTGGAGAAGTTTCAAGTTTGGCTTCTGAAATCTGGAAAGAACAACCTGATCCTGTAAAAAACTATTTCAAAATTGCCGCTGAAGTAGCTAAGGAAATTCATAAAGAAAAAAATCCTTCTTATAGATATTCCCCCCAAAAAAACCGCAAAAAGATTAAATCTAACAAAAAGACTAAATCTAACAAAAAGACTAAATCTAACAAAAAGATTAAATCTAACAAAATATCCAAGAAAGCGCATAATAATACGAAAGTTCCGAATTACGATCAGCGCCCGGATTCGGATATTCCTCCAGAACGTTCAAATAATCATCTTAACGGCGATCCCGAGGATGACATTTTTTTCCAAAACCTCTCTGCGTTTACGCACATCTCCCGTTGATAATCTTAATGTTAGCGGTTAACATTAAGTACCGAGTTTTTTTAAAAAAAAATTTTTTCATTATTAATATATGTTTTATCCATTTATAAAATTTTTTATGATTATGCATGTACTGTATGTTAAGATGTTTATGTTATTTACTACATCACATTTTTACTATAAAACATGATTTATTGTTTTTGTTTTTTTTTTATAAAATTTATGTAACAACGATATATCTTGTGCCGCAAAAAAAAAAAGGAAAAGATAACGATATGTAACGTTAACGTTTAAGAAAATAAATTAAAAATTATGCACGAAAATGAGTAATCAAAGAAGAAAAGTAATATAAATAATTTCAAAAATTTTAAAGAATTTTTCAATATTATTGTTGACGAGTTTTATCATGGCTTTATTAAAAGAATTTACTGTAAGTACAGTCGGGCACATTACCAAAAATGGGCAATGTAGATCACCCCTTATATAGTAAAGAAACGCAGATCGGACGATTCT